CTTGACCGCAGGAAAGCATGGGGATGAAGATCGATTTGATTAACGAGGGCTAAGTCTTCAGACTCAGTGAATAGAGTAGTTCACGCAGAATATGACCGCCTACTTCGATCTACCGGTCGATCACTTCCTCAAACTTTCCACTACTAGTAAGTACGACTCCGAAGTAGTTGAACTTCTCCCCTGCTCCACTGCTTTTCGGTTAATCTGAAGAGAGCAACGGGCAGGAGAACGAGAAAGCACTAGGCTTTTCGTTTTAGATGCGTTCACACGCATGCCGGCAACGGGCAGGAGAACGAGAAAGCACTAGGCTTTTCGTTTTAGATGCGTTCACACGCATGCCGGTCACATCACACTCACCTGCGAACCTTTCCAGGGAGCACTGTAGATCAGTTTCAGCAGATGCGAACAAAACAAGGCCGTTTGCAAATAGCAAACTTCTGGTCTCGGCATCTCTCTCGTGGACATACTCGTCATCCTGGCTGCGCTGACTATTCTGTGAATGTACAACACACAGAGAGAATAGGCATAACATGTCCGTCTCTGAAATCAAACGTTGAAGCAAAGATTTTTTTCTGTCTAGCTGCTCGTTCGAACTCATGGTTAAGTTAGAAATCGTTAAGTTGCATTTAGCTGGCATTTGATCGATACGAATTTCTGATGAATGATACAATCATGACTTTTATTTGAAATTGAAAACGAGTGACGCTTTCGTGACATACCCCAGAAGCCTCGGGTAATTAACGCTAATGGAAAATGTTTGGCGAAATGGACCGAGAGGTCTTTAAGTCCAAAATCGCTTGGCGATCGTAATTACTGCCTCGTGTCATCGTTGCATCGACTTCGGATAGACGACCGACGGCGCCACAAGAGGTCCATCGTTAATGGTCAATTATGCATGCATGTTTTTGGTACTCCCGTCCTGAAACAGAGACACGAGACATGGTTACACCATGTTCGCTCGTTCGATTGCTTCTCTCGTTTTAGACGGATTTTCACGACCGGTCACAAGTCTCTTGGTCATGCTGGCCGTCTTTGTCTTTGTGTTGTCGAAAGAATTCGGCCATGGAGGCATGTGGCCAGAAGCCAGGAAGGAAACGAGAGAACGAGGCCATGTTAACGAAATTATCGATTGCTACCGACATGAACCATTTGGCGTTTGGAAAAGGGGTGGGGGTAAATTGTTGGAAAGCCAACGTCCTTGCAGATTGGCCGGTTCGGTCGTCGTCGGGTGTGTACGGCGGTGAGCGGCGACTTGATACCGTTAGCAAAGTGGCAGGTGTCATCACGACATGTCGGCGGAAGCGATCCGGACTTTGGCTGTTACCAATGACCCCGGCGACGAGCAAAGCCGGGTGGCTGAGTACACACCAGCCACGGCTTTCGGTCTTACCGCCAGTAGTACGGTGTCAGTAGTTGGTGGTGGCGTTTCGTCACGATCGGTTTGACGCTTCATCGTCGTTCCTTCCGTCGTCGTCGTAGTAAGTACCTCATTTTTGCGGAACGAAGGTCAACGCTTTATTCCTGAGGTACTCTCTATTACGACCTAGTGGATTACGACCACGTCATGAGGCGAGCAGCGTTGTTCGACGTGCATGCGAAGTAGGCAATTATTTTTACTCATGCGCTTAATTAACGACGCTTAGTTAATGATGGACAACCGACAGCGGTTTGCCGGCCACGTTGACAATAACACAAACAAGTCAGATTCAATAAGCGCCCCTTGTGTGCGCCGATTGTAGCATCGGTTCGCTCGGATTCGCATAAGCGTTTCACAGGCTAATGCCGCATTATGCATAATTCATTTACGCGCTTTCCGCCCAACGATCGTACCAAGGTCGACGTGCCTCGCGTCTGATTTGCCTCCCGTCCCCGCTCTGTCCCGAACCGTTGTTTACGCGTCGACGACGACCACCACGACGAACGGCTTTACATCGTCGTTAGAGGAGCAAAGGACACGAGACGCGTAGGCATCGTGGCATGCGTCACCAGGGTACTCGCTTCCGTCGAACTCTGCTGGACTTTCCATGGCACGGCCAAATCAATGACCAGTGCATCGCCGGTCACAGGTGAAACGTTGCTTCGAGTTTCAAGTCCACTCTGTCCGATCGCCGGTCACTGGTCGCCGTGGCCTTGGCCAGAGGTGAGGGGCGGAATTCGGCTTCGAACTGTCGCTTGAAACCAGAAACCACACTACAGTGTGTTGAGGCTTCATTGCGACGACCATAACAGAGTTGAGTTGAGGTTTTGTTAGCATGCGACCACGAATGTGCGACCGGTCTGGCCGGTTATCCGCATAAGTGATTTATACAAAAGCTGGGGATATTTAAAAGGCGACAGTACAGTAGGAAACTTGTCACCTTTCAGATATCGGTCTCCGTTATATTTTCATGAGGGATACCATTTGGAGCAACACTTATCGGCAGGCTCACGGTGCAGGTGCAGGGCTGATCTCCGTTTCTACGTCATCAACCGGAATTGTTTTTTTAAAGGCAATATCGACAGGTGTTTGGCATTTACAGCCTGTAGCGTTCGATACTGCAAACGCTTCTGGAAGTATTGCGGTTCTTTTCGCTTATGATACCTCAAAATGAGAATGACGTTGATTTTACAAAAACTTAAATTTAATATAAAATTCGAAGCATAAA